CAGCTTCAAATTTAGGGACAGCAATGGACTATGTTTCTTTTATTCCAAGACCAGCCTGGCCAAATTCAGAGCCTCATCGTCAGAGGGTTAGACAGCAGGTGATGAATGTCTTTTGGCCACAGCAACTCATTAAGTCATTTATTAATCCATGTTGATGGAAGGAGCACCTGCATCAGTGATGTCGTGAGGACTTGCGTGTTGAAGTGGACGATATTTATGAGATATGTCAGTAGAAGAGACTGGACAAAATGCTGCTTCTGTACTCCCTGAAAGTTTAGTAGTGTTCCCTCTCCTGTAAACTGTGACCTTGGGGCGGTAGAGGGACTTGGACTAAGCTGAGGAGGAAGCACCCTTGGGGGAGGGTGCAATAGAAAACGTGTCCGAAGTGAGGATTCTTTCTAATTGAAAACAACCCGACTTCCAACCAGTGGAGAAGCCTCATCTATCCAGGGGTGTGCTGGAGCCAGCTCTTGCCAGGAGAGCTAATTGTTACGTTTTCAGTGTGAGCGTTTCAGCGAGCATTCTGCAAATTCTACGAATCAGAGCCTTATTTTTTGTTTTGTTGATTGTTTATATTTTTTAAAGGGATTAAATAAATATAAAAAAGCAGATTAAACTTAACAGTGTGTCAAATGTCCATCTTCTCTTCAGAGAGCTTGTCACTGAACATTTACCAGCATGCTTCTGCATCTAGCCCGTGCTGGTGCAGGGCTGTAAGTGATATGAGGTGACAGTGACACAAAGGTTTTTTTCTCACCAGAATCTGACCATAATAAAGATAATGATGATATAATAATAGCAAACATTTATGTAGCACTTTAAGGTATATGAAATATTTTACATTTCTATTATTTCATTTGATCCTTACAGAAAGACTGGGAGGCAGGGATGATTACTATCCCCACTTTATAGATGGGGAAATTGAGACTTAATGAGGTTAAGTGACTTGTTCAGAGTCCCACAGCAGTGTCTGAAGCAGCATTTGAACTCAGGTTTTCCTGACTCAACAGTCCAACACTCTAGCCATGTCTGACCTTAGAGCTTCAAAGAACCTTAGAGGTCATCAAGTCCAACCCCCTCACTTTACAGATGAGGACACTGAGGCCCAGGGTCACCCAACTGTTAAATATTTAAGTCAGGCTTCAAATCCAAGTTTCCCTGATCTAATGCTCTATCCATTACACTATCTAGCTGCCTTCCTATCGAATTAATAAGTTTTCACATAGCCCTTCCTTTATACTTTTAATATGGCAATTACGCATTATGCTGTGATTTATGTTTACTACCAACTCACCCTTCTCTAGTAGACTGAAAAATCTTGAATCCATTTTCACGCAGACCGGTAAAGTAAGAAGATTCTTAGAGTGTTGTGCCACCCCCACCCCCTGGAAGATTGGTCAATTTTTATAGGTGCTTGTGTGTACAAGAGGACCAGATCATCTGTGGACCCTCCCAGATCTAGCACATAGAGCACTGACAAATTATTCTAAGAAACAATGAAAGCAGGAAAGCCAAGGTGAGATCCCAGTAAAGAGAACCTCTGGTCCTTGTAACTGGGTTAAAGCTTCCAGGTCCAGCCATAAATTCATATTCCAGGGTGTTGTGTTGCAGGACTGGAAAATCATAGAATCTCAGGACTGGAAAAACATTCAGAAGTCAGTTGGGTCTGACTCTTATCTAAGCATATACCCCTTCAGATCCAGTCTTCTCTTGAAGGCCTCCAGTAATGGCCAGCTCACTACTTCACAAGATTACCCATTCTACTTTATGTCGGCAGATAGTTATGCAAAATGTCTTACCATTTGTGTTACAAATGAAATTGAAGGGCAATTGGGGGTGCCAATCAAGACCTTATAACTTTGCATCTACATATGAGGTCCTGGGGCATATGCATAGAGTGCTAGACTCGAAGTCAAGAAGGCTTGCTTTCAAATTCCATCTCTGAATCTTTTTAACTATGTGTCCATGACTGTAGGATTAAAGATGGTGTTTGGCATAAAGTGAGTTATTAAAAATGTTTATTCACTTATTTAACTTCTCTGAGCTCAGATTACTTGTCTATAAAATTGGAATGTTTTCCATTCTATCTATGTTGTAGCATGCTGTAAGGTTCAAATGAGATGATGGATATAAAGTGCTTGGTAAATGTTGAACTGATATATAAAAGTGAGTTACTATTATTCCCCCTTATGATTTCTACACGAGCTCTCTCATGCCAATATCTTCCAGATTGGTGAGAAAAAGAATATGCTAGAATCAGCTTGTAGCGGCTCTCAAGGGATGATTGTTAAATTTTCAGTGTGAGCATTTATATGTCTGAAATCAGCAAATGCTGCAGATCAGAGATTGATGTTTTGTTGGTTTCCAGACTTATGAAAGTGATGGGGAAAATATGAATAATGGAGATAAACTTAAAAATGTGTCATTGTACATTCTCCACCCATACCCCACCCCAGAGCTTGTTATTAAACGTTTGGCAGCACACCACTAGGTGGTAGCTTACAAAATTTCTGCCAACGACACCTTTTCATATCTTCTCTGTGTACTGGTACACCGATCTTGGTGCAAAGGTGAAGGAAGAAGTTTTTTCTTCAGGATGAATCTCTGACATCTCCTCTAGATTGTGAATCAGTGGAATTTAGGACAAATGTTCTTAATCTTTTTTGTGCCGTGAAATAACTTTGACAGGCTGGTGAAACCTATGGACATGTTAAGAATAATGTTTTCAAATACATAAAATAAAATATATAGGATTAGAAGAGAATGCTTATAAATGAAATACAGTTGTTGTTGATGTTTTTAGAGTTCACAGACCCCTGGTTAAAAACCTCTGATTAGAGCATGAGAGAAAAAAAGTCAAAAGATGACTTTGCAATGGAGGAGTGGGGAAAGGGGAGAAAATTCATGGACACCATTCATTAATTTACTGAATACTCAAAGCCATATGCAAAATACTGTACATGGCCATGTAGGGGATAGGAGATGGGTCTCAACCTCAAAGAAGGCCTTTCCTTCCCTCTGAAATTTACCTTCTCTTTGCACTGTGTGTAACTTGTATGTACAGCTAATTTCATGGTATTGCCTCTTCCCTCACTTAAGAATTTTAGTTCATTGAGGGCAGCGACTGTGTTTTTTTCCCTTTCTTTGTGTCTCTAGCACTTAGCACACTGCCTGGCACACAGTAGGTGCTTAATAAATGCGTGTTGACTGACTAACCAACTGGGCCAAAGTTGACATTTTGTCATTTTTATTCATTTATTTGGTTAACTTCCTACCAAAGTCCTATTACTGATGCCTCATTATGAATGGAGATGACTAGGTTTTTGAAGGCCATTCCAGCAAAGTACTAGATAATGTCAGGTTTCACTAAGCTGAGAGTCTTGCATGTGGGCTTAATGACCAAGTGTATTCCTCATGTACAAAGACCAGGCCAACAAAGTTAGAGAACATTAGAAGATTGGCCACTGCAGCAACTATTGAATAACTTCATGTTAAAGAGCGGTAGTGATGTAATTTGGGAGAAAATAAAATATTAAATAAAAAGGGGGGGGTGAAGTTAGGAACTGCTTTAGTTCAGATACTTAAAATATGTTCTAGTCTTAGTACTTTTTTTAAAGAATAGGCTTTAATTTTTTAAATTAAATTTATCAATAAAAATGAGAAGACTCATGTTTTTGCTTGCAATGTAGTCTTCTTCTGCCTCATTTCCTTCCCAGGGGGGAAGAAAAGGCTAAGGTGGCTAAGGAAAAGTAGACAATAGAAAGACACAGGAAATAAAGCCTAATGAGATGGGTTAAAATCCTAGCCCAGTTATTTACTTCCTCTGTGATCTTGAGCAAGTCATTTTACTTCTAAAGCTCAGTTTCCTCATTGGCAAAATGAGCAGTTTAGACTGAATAAGTGCCGAGGCCCTTCAGGATCAAAATCCTGTCACCTCTGGGCATGGCTCACAAGAAGCCTTGCCCTCTCTCCTTCCTTTTCTCCAGCTTTCCAGCTCCTTTCATGTGTTATCTTCCCTCATTATAAACACAAGTTCTCTGAGGGAAGGGACTGTCTTATTTGCTTGTACTTGCAAAACTCCATCACTTAGCACAGGTCCTGGCATATAATAATCACTTAATAAATGCTTTATTTATCTGTCTATCTGTCTATCTATCTATCTATCTACCCATTTATCTAAGTTGTAGTATGTAGAATACAGGACCTGAAGTTAGAAAGACCTGAGTTTGAATCCTATCTCACAAACTCCCTAGCTGTGTGACCCTGGGCAAATCACTTAGCCACTTTATGCCTCAGTTTCCTCATTTGTAAAATGGGGACAATAATAGCACCTGCTTGGCAGAGCTGTTGTGAGGATCAAATCAATTAAAATATGTAAAGTGCTTTGCAAAACTAAAAGTGCTATATAAATGTTACCTATTAGTATTATTAAACGTGATCTATCATCTGTCTAAACGCTAAGAAATATAACTACTTTATGCCTTTTCTGCTTCTGTTTTCACTGCCAAGGAACATGATATTCAGAATGGAAAAAGATAGAACAAAAGTGGATTGGAATTCCAACCTAAGATTAGTAAAGAGATTAAGAGATTGCTAACTCTCCCCAATGAGTTCAAGCCACCTAGTTTTGATAAATTCTGTCTCAAAGTAATGATAGAAACACAGTCATGATTGTTAAGCCACTATTGTTGGTCTTAAAGGAAAATGAGAGAATGGGAGAGGCACCACAGAATCAGAAATGGGCAAATATCCTGATTTTCAAAAAGAGGAAGAGAATGAAGTCCTCTAACAGACTTTAGGACAGTAAAGTTGGTGTCAGTCCCCAATAAAATTCTCTAACAGATTATTAAACAGATGGTTTGTGAGCACTTAAAAAGGGAAGAAGTAGCACTATGAGCCAGTATGGCTTCATTAAAAGAAGTCATGCCAGACTAACCTCATTTCCTTTTTTGACAGTTATCAAACTGGTAGAACAGGGGAACGCCATAGATCCGACATACCTTGGATTCAGCAGGGCATCTGACAGAGTTGCAGTTATAACCTTATAGACAAAATGGAGACAGAGGTGCAGGTTTAATGATGATACAGATAGATGTATTCAGAAGTGGCTGAACTGAATCAGCTGAGTAAACTCTAAACCCAGTTTGCATTTGCCCATAGTGATGGGGAAGTATGGGTTTTAAAGCTGCCTCCTTTCTTGGGTTTGTGACTTACTGGGCATCTCTCCTGCTATGCATATGTCTAGCATTACAGCTACTCCATAAGATGCTTAACTTGATAGGTGCACATACATAGTTTTCTTCCTCCTGAAAATTAGAAAGAATAAACATTACTGTTTGTAGTCCATTGTCCACAGATGATGAAACCAGGGCTGCAGGGAGAGATGATGTTGCTAAAAATTTGGACAGATGCCTCAAAATCTTAGATAACCACTGGAAAAAGAGAAACTGTAAAATGCTCAAAGGAAGGGTCTTTCTCATTTCTGTCTTTGTATCCCTGCACAGGGTGGGGAATCTGCAGCCTCGAGGCCACAGGGGATTCAGTCAAAGGGCCGAACATGAGGACCTACAGGGCCACATGTGGCCTCGAGACCACAGGTTCCCCACTCCAGGATAGTATAACGTCTGGCATGTTGTATGTGATTGATAAGTACTCTTTGCTTGATTGATTTGATATTTCAGGGGCTGTAGGAAAACAGACAAACAAAGCACTGTCCTGCTAATATCACCCAGCTTGAAGAGGAAAAGAAAGGCAAGTGGTTGCTCAGGTTAACTAAGTCAGTAACAGACTAGTCCAAATAACCGGAAGTTAGTGCTGAGAACTTGATAAAGCAATTAGGAGTGCAAGAGAAAAATTCCGAAACAAAAACCACCTTTCTCTAGAGACAAGTAGGTGGCCAGCCCACCATATTCTGGATGTAGAATCAGGAAAATGTGAGTTCAAATCCTGCCTCTACCACTTACTATATAACACTGGGTAAGTTGCTTAACTTCAGTCTCAATTTCCTCAGATGTAGAATGAGGAATAGAACCTGCCTCACACAGTTGTTGCGAGGATTAAATGAGGTAAGAGTTGTAAAGTGCTTCAGAAACTTTAAAGTGCTTCGATGAAGGTTGGATCTTATTATTATTCCCATTCCTCCCAACTTTCATCTTCCAATGTCAAACCTCAGAAATACGGTGAAAGGAAAAAATCCTATAAAACCTAGCAAGACTCTAAGAGAATTGGCTCATGAGCATTTTAAGGGTGTGTGTGTGTGTGTGTGTGTGTTTATGACACATGTGTATTTCTTTGTTTTTATAAATATTAGTGAGCAAGCCTTTAAGTGCTTACTAGGTTCCAAGCATCGTACTAAGTGCTGGAAATAAAAAGAAAGACAGAAAGCATTTGCTGCCCTCAAGGAGTTCATAGTCTAATGGAGGAAACATGTGAACACCTTGTACATATAAGATATATACAGCATGTGATTTCTCTCACTTTCTCTCTTTCTCCTCTTTTTTCTTTCTTTCTCCTCTTTCTGCTCTTTTCTCTCTCTCTCCTCTCTTTTCCCTCTTATTCTCCTCCCTGTCTCCCTCTCTTTTTCTCTTTCCTTCCCCCTCCTTTCTTTCTCCATTTTCTCCCCTAATCTAACACCCCCCCACATGAGACCCACACACTACCAGAAAATTGAGATTTCTAATGATTTTCCAGCATAATTTCACAGATTTCACCCTGCTACAGATTTGGAAAAGAAAGCTAGACTCTTCCCATTTGACAAGAGTCCTTGTAAAGTTAAAAATCATATCAAGACTCTAACTCTAAACCTGAATATCAACTAGGCAAATTGACAGATACTTTTGATAGTCAGAGTTTTGCTGTTGTTAATTCGTCCTGTTTATGTTTGATTTGGAATGTGTTTAGATGGCAAAAAAAAAGACCTTGCAAGATGTTAATGGGCACAAAGGACAAACAATTCGTAATACATACTATGCTGTAGTTGCAAATTAATAAGATGCTTGCTAATATTGAAGTGGATTTGTAAATAGTTACCAGCTATATGACATTCATAAAGATAGCCAGAAACATAAGAGGGTAATTGTGAATGTCAGCATGTGGTACTCTTTGGGCCAATAGTTGTATCCAATTGTTTGTCTATGATCCTATTTTGTCTTGGATCATATACGTGTATTGTAGCAGATTCACTGAATTAGAAGACAGAACTGATACTAGAAGTCCTGATGTGGCATTCATGCTGATGAATCAGCAACCCACCAAGCAAAAGAATAATGTTGGCAGACTACTTACTGGAGTGCTCCAAGAGGCAAATCTGACTATTGAATCATTCCTCGGTGGTTGAATAGAATCAGTGAAAAAGATGGGGAAAGCTACTCATTGGAGGTCATGACAGGACTTTCCTTATTTAGTCACCATTGTTTTCTTTCAAAAGGGGTGGCCCCAACCTGGTTGACCAAAAGCCTTAGTATCCTAGATAACTCTTGGGTAGTGGGCAGTTAAGGTAGCATGAACTGACTTGTCCAAACTCTTAGCCATGATCAACAAAGAGGGGAACCAATATGAAGAATCCAGCAAGGCTAAAAGAAAGTAGAACAATCATACTTACAGAAGTTCAATCTGTAATTGTCATACCCAGACCCGGTAAAATAAAAATCAACATTTCCATGAGAATATTGTTCACTTCCTCTCACAGTCAGTTCTTCAGGTTTTCAAAGGAGATTTCTCAACAGCTCTCTGATGGACTTTTGTGCAATTGTTTAACCTGGCAATGAAAGAAATATTTATAGAACCCAATGAAACTTATTGAGAGTGGATTTTAGCACAAATAATACATTTAGGATATCTCTGTCCTTGCACTTCATAATGATAGGAAGGGTTTTCTCCCCAGAGTCCTGACCATGTGAAGTCTTATTGTTACACCCTGTTGTATTTCTGTTATCACTCTTCATCTGAACCTACTCTCTGTATAGGTAAATAAGGTTCTTTACTCTAGCCTCCACAATCTACCATGTAGAGGACAGCTAGGGATAGGGTCACAGAACCATCCATTTCTGATTACTTATCATGCTCTATCTCATACTCTTTTTGAGATCTTGTAGCCCCCTCAGCAATCTGGGGGGCTGATTGCTCTTGAAGTAGGTCCAGGACAAAAGATTTTATAGGATCCGTGGACCTGCAAATACCACACATGCCTCAAAATATGTCCAGCATCATTCCCTAGTTGGAAAAACAAAAACAAAAACATTCTCCAGGTTAAACACCACCTGGACTAGGTCGAACTTGTGCCAAGTCTGCTTCAAACCATGTCCTTTGCCTTGTAAGCATTATTTAACCTACATTCTCTACTCTACAAGGGGACACATCCCTCTACCTTAGTAGTAGAACCCATCTGCATGCAGCAAACTCCTGGTGCCAGCAGGTTTTTCCTAAGGGTTTAGACATTTTGGAAGATATGGCATGGAGAAAGGACACTAGAATAATCACTACTTCTTGGTGTCATCTAGAAACTGTTAATTTCTATGTCAGTATATTTTTTTAGTCAATTTGGGTTAAGTGACTTGCCCAGGGTCATACAGCTAGTAAGTGTCTGAGGCTGAATTTGAACTCAGGTACTTGTGACTCCCGGGCTGGTGCTCTGTCTGCTGACCACCTAGCTGCTGCATCTGCACATCTTTCAATGAAGCCTATGAAAGCCTAACAACCATGAAAATACTCTTCTTGTAAAGCCATGGGAAGCTTTTGAATCCAGTAGGTCTTACTAAAATACAAGCTAATTTTTTTTAAATACTCAAAATATGATAAATGTATTTTCTATACCTTTGAGTCAAAACTTACCTCAAATCTCAGGAGAGAGAAGCCTTTAATGAAGACTACAAGGTACATTGACCTTCAGGAATTTCTAGCTCAATACAAATATGCTAACCTTCAAACATAAATTCTCTAAGTAGAGAATGAAATGGTTTACTAATAAATCTGAAGGTAGATGTACGCAAAGTCCATAAAAAGGATGCAATAAGATCACAAATCAATGACTCGCCTCGGGCTCTCCTGTGTTTCCTTGACATGAAGTCACATGCCTACTGATGTCAAATCCCCAATATGGTGATAAAAAGAAGCTGGGAGGGAAGGGGAGAGATGAGAGAAATCAAGATATGACTGCTTCATTGTAGGGAGTGAAAAGGTGAGTGAAAAGCCACTAGGTTGTGGGCCTGATTGTAAGAGAATAAGATGCCATAGGGGCCCTAGAAATAGAATCAGAGAAAACAAAAATACTATAAATTCTCTGTGGTTTTCTTGCCATTTAGTCAGGTCACATGCAAAAGAGGTATACAAAAATAGTTTTATTCCTTACTGAGGGCTTATTGTAGCCTATTCCAATGGTTGCTAGAATTTAGATGCAAAATCATGTCTCTTAATTCCAAATGAACCATCCCTTCTGGGCTTACTCCCTCAATTCATGCTGGCATCAAGGCTGACACTACTCTCGGTATTCTAGGAGTAACCCTATGAGAGGCTATCCTTGTAACACTGAGTTCCCCTTGACGGTTCAGCTGGTCAATTCAATTTATTCTTTAGCAAAAGCATTTATTCAAATGCCATAGCAAGAAGTTATAAAGCATCTCTTTCAAAACCTGGGGCACCCTCTCCCAAGAAGACACACAGAGTCTTTGGGGGGAAAAGTAGCCATGAACTTAAAAAAAAACAATGGAAATTAAGCTCATGTGTAGGGAACAGATGGCCAAGGAGACTCCCAACTCCTCCATGTTGATTCTCTGGAGATCCTCACAAAGTTTGCAGCAGGGGATAGCACTGTGATGGACAATTCACTCTGTGGCTCAGCTGGGCTGGCTCCTCACCCTGCACAGCATCTCCGCTGGATGCATCACTCCCCTCCTAGGCTGAATCAGGCACTTTCAGTTATGAAGCTGGCTCCTCAGTGGGCTCAGCTGCTACAGAGATGGACTAGGCAGGTTCCTCAGTATATGGCTTCTCTGTTGGTTGGATTGATGTTCTGGAATCCTTGAGTTCACTGTTTAAAGGCTGTTTTTTGACATTCTGGCCTCTGGGTTGGCTGAGTGTCACAGTGCTCTTTTCAGTAAGGATATAGACTCTTAGCCTGGAACTTAGAGAAGCTTCTCCTCATTGTCTCCCAAATCTGAGATTTGTCACCTCCAGGCACGAAGTGGGTGGCTTCAGTTCAGAGGTGGTTTCCCTCAGTGAAGGATTCTACCTTTACTTATGGTTCTCAACCCAATTACATTTTCCAGATTCCTATTAGGTTTTATGGAGATGAGTGGTCTAGGACAAAGGTTTTGGAGTGTGTGGCCCTGGGGCAGCTAGGTGGAGCAGTGAATAGAGTCTGGGCATGGAATCAGGTAAGCTTTTATCATCCTAATTGAAATCTGGCCTCAGACACTTACAAGATGTGTAACCCAAGGCAAGTCACTTAATTCTTTCTACTTAAGTTTCCCCATCTGTAAAATGAGCTGGAAAAGGAAATGGCAAACCATACTAGTAGCTTTGTAAGGAAAACCCCCAAATGGGGCCCTAAAGAGTCTGATATGACTGAAAAAAAAAAACAACCAAGACTGAACAAGTGCCCTGGAGTTTGTTGACTGTCTTATCAGTCTCTTCCTAGGCCACTGAGCCATTCAAGCCTCAAACTCCTCCTATGGTGTGCATTGTTACCTTTGCGTCTAGAAGATTTTCCATTTTACATTTTAGTGTCTATTTTTGCCCCATAGACCTTTAGTTTAGCTAAGAATCTAAAGGGAAGGCTATTAAATGAGCTCTAGACAGATTGCATAGCCTACTGTGGGGCTGCAAAGCCCTTTTAAGGGATAAGGCCCATTTTGAATCAAGAAAATCCGTCTCAGCTTCTCTATTCAGTCACATGTATTGTCACTGCTCTTCCTCCAATCATCTCTTTCAAACATCATCTATTGTTCTGGTCAGAGTTTGCTTGAGGAGAATATTGAGACATATCACCTGTAATAAGGAATAGCAATCAAAACTTATGATATTTGGAACCTCTCAACAAAGTCAAAATCAAGTCTGTTTTCCCCCAACCTTAGCATATGGGTGGATATTGACTCAAAGCCTGATGGTAGTAAGACTGTAGCTGTGGGAGGTATGATAGACTCTGTCAAAGCAGCATTTGAGGAGTCTTCCTAAGCTACTATGGCTGACCACAGGCACTTGTAATTACTATAATTGTTTCCCTAGGGTTTTGTAGAGCACTCTACCAAACCAGGTAGTCGAATCTGCATAGATAAAGAGAGCTTTTCCCTGGGAGCTCCCTATATCGATGAAATCATAGGTCTAGTTAAAAAAAAAATTTTTTTTGAAGTGTAACAGGAGAACAGATATTAGCTTTTGTCACAACTACTTGTCTCCCAAAGAAATGTCATCTTGCTAAACTTGAAAAGGTTTTTCTAATGAGAAGAGCTAGATAAATATCAAATGTCATTCAAATATCTCGCAGCTCAGAGAACTGCTTATAGAAGTAGGCAGGAGTTAAATTCTTTGCTACATCAGGCCCAGCAGAACCCCTGAGGCCTGCCCTAGGCTGGTCCCTATGTCAGTTTTCAGACATTATCAAGTGCCTGGAAAGGTTTCTCTCAGAGCTAGGAGGATGTGGGAGAAAGCTTATGGGAGTAACACAATCGCTAGGCTTAGAGACAGGAACCTGGTTTCTGTTCCTCACTGTGCTACTTACCTCTTGTGTAATGTTAGGCACATCACATAATCTTTCTAGGACTCAGTTTCTTCATCTATTAAAATAAAAGTGGGAGGGAAGGGGTTGGACTGGATGCTTTCTAAGGTGCCTTCTCAATTCATGATCCTCAGTGATCCATGGAAAGGAAAAAAAAGTTCTCAAAAGAAGAATTGTAAACTATTAATAACCATATGAAAGAATGGTCCAAAATTATTAATAATAAGAAAAGTACATGTCAACACAACTCTGAGGTTTATAGCTCATGTCTAGAAAATTGGCAGATGACAAAAAATGAAAACAGTCAATTTTGGGCCAGGTTATGGAAAGACAAGAACACTAATTAATACCCTTGGTGGAACTGTGAAATGTCTAAACATTCTTACTACATTTAATAATTTGAGGCAGCTAGGTAGCACAGTGGATTGAGCACTGGGCTTGAGGTCAAGAAGCTCTGAATTAAAATCCAACCTGAGACATTTACTAGCTGTGTGACCTTGGGCAAGGCACTTGACTCTTGTTTCTCCTGGTTTCCCCTCCTATGAAATGGCGATCATGATAGCACCTATCTCCCATGTATGTGGTAAGGATCAAATGAGATAATATTTGTAAAGCACTTAGAACAATGCCTGGCATAGTAGGCCCTTAATAAATGTTTATTTCCTTCTTTCCTTCCTTCCTTCCTCCCTCTTTCCCTCCCTCTTCCTCTACCTCCCTTCCTTCCTTTTTTCTTCTTTCCTTCCTTCCTTCCTCCCTTCTTTCCTTCTTTCCTCTCTTCTTTCCTTCATTCATTTCTTCCTCCCTCCCTCTCTTCCTTCCTTCTTTCCTTCCTTCTTTCCTTCCTTCCTTCTTCTCTCCTTCCATCTCTTCCTTCCTTCCTTTCTTCTGCTGGCTTTCGTAATCACCATTACAAAAGATAAGGAAATGGAAATAGCAACAATAGACATTCCCACCGTATTTTAGTTTA